CGCCCCAAGCAGCCAAAAACCAAAAAAAAAAAAAAGACCGCGGCCGCGATCGCAATCTGCGGCGGCAATTCGGCGGGAGGTCCTTCACTCCGAGCCGGAGTGAGGGACCGTCCGCCGAATTGCCGCCGAATACCTGGACCTGCCGCCCCTCTCCCGACCAGCCGCCCCAAGCCCCTGCTTGAGAAGCTGGTGCCTGGAGCCAGCCCTGGTGACGTCACATTTCCTGATATTGTAATCTGTCTTGCCAGTAGCCCATTCCATTCTGGAGGGCCATTGCAGTCTAGTTAACTGTTCACAGGATTAGGAGGCCTGAGTTCTTATCCTGGCTCTGGCCTTACTGGTTTCCCTATAGGTAACTGTTTCATAAGTGCCTAAGTGATGTAGCTGACACGTGGGTGTCTGAGTGCCTGAGTCGGTTTTGATAATGGTACCTAGGCACCCCAGTCACTTAATAATATCTAACACTGGAGCTATATGTGTAATGTCCAGCCCAGGTAGACATCGCCATGCTAGCTCGGATCGCACTAGCACACTAAAAATATCACTGTAGCCGCTGCTGCGTAGGCAGCAAGACAGGGTAGCCACTCTGAGTACAAGGGTCTCAAATAGGATTGTAGTCAGGGTGGTGAGCCCATTATGCTTCCCGCAGCAACCCTGATATTCGTAGTATGCTAGTTCAATCAGAGCTAGTACAGGTATACCTGCCCACGCTGGAAATCACACCTCCAGCTCCCATGTAGATATACCTAAGACGCTTTTGAAAATGTTACGCATTAGCCAAACTGCATCTCAGTTTCTCCATCTGTAAAAATGGGATAATAAAATGTACTTACCTACCTTGCATGGGATATAGGGAGGATTTAAACTTGTGTTGCACACTGATGTGAAAGATGTATGCTGTTCTTTATAATCCTTATTGAAAAGCAAGCAGGGTGGGGAGAGATACCAGGAATGGGTCTCTATCACTTTTTCTTTCCCCACTTCCTATGCTAGACTCCACAACACTTTTTTAGGCTCTCTGAGTGGCAGTGTAAGAAACTGAGAGTTTTAAACCACAACATCAGATTTTCAAATTGAGTTTTAAAAGAGGCAAAATAGAAAATGGAAGAAATACACAAATTCACTGTTTCCAGTTAGGAACAGGCTAATGCTTGCAGGGTTATCTAGTTCACAGATATATTAGATGAGCCCAAGCCTAAGAACTTAGAATCAAATCTGAATTCCCTCAAGGTTCAGGGTGATTGGATACAGGCTCTTAGCTTGGACCCTTCACTCATACAAATGGGTATTCACTCACCAAGATGGACTGCCTCTGGGCCTATCGAATCAGGAAAGGACTGTCAGCTCCTTACTCTCCCAGCTGCCCCAACTACCATACCTATCTTGAATCTTCTCCTCAGGTTCCTGCAACATCACTGCCTCCATTCTCTTACTGGAGTCTAAGCTACTGCCTGTGGTCCCGGCAAACAGCTCAGGGGATCTCCCTGGGGCCTAGGAGAGAAGGACTCCTTCCCACATGCTGCAGATTGGCAGCAAAATGTTTCTGTGGACAATGCTGTAGCCTCAGTACACAGTAGTCCATGAGGTCCCTACCCCTCCACTCTGCAAGGAAAATGGCTGTTGGATCTGTGAATCCCTTACATGCAGTGTGCTCCTGTGGTACACAGCTCAACAACATTAAGCATATGCAGCTCTGCTATAGAGACTTCTGGCATCCAACTCCTCCACTCCTGCTCAGCAGCTGCAGCATTTCAGCCAGTGTCATAAGCCTCCTCTGATGCAGATGTTGGGGAAGGAACAGGATATAATATAGTGTAAAGTGATCATGACACATATATACAAACAATCCCATATTTCTTAGTTTAACTCGCTTTTTGCTGCCTGTTCCCTTCCCTTGGACTATTGCTCATTTAGCTTCAGTGTCAGATTCCTTTACACAATGATAAGCACAATGATAATCTCTGTGATAACCAAATAGGCCACAAGTGAGAGAACATCCTGTTCCTTAATTGGGCCTGCAAGATCTTCGCTTCTCCTTTGCATAAAGTTGACAATGATGTAATAAATGCAAGGAACATGGATTTATTTCTATCTTGCCTTTGATTGCTAAAATAAAGAGGAAATTAAATACCCACAAAGAAACTTGACAGTATATCATATAAAACAAATCTTTGGGAATTGTCAAGGTTTTAATTATTTTCATTCAGTGGGTATGCAAAATTAAAATTAACCATTTATATTGTATGTAGGTGTTTGGAGGCTACTATATTTGTCAATTTAATAAAATTGCATTGATAACTTTTAAGAATGTCTTGATTATTGCAACACCCAGTCTGTACTCCACTAGGAAGTGTATTAGGCCAACTGCTATTTTTTTTATTTCCATGAATGATATACTAGCAATTATTACCAAATCTGCTATCTACATGTTTACACTGATGATGCTTCAATTTACAGTACTTCAGATTGTGTTAACACAAATGAGAAGGCATTATAGGAGGACTTTAATTGAGTTCAAATTGGTTGACTGAACATAAAGTGATATTAAATGCAGTTGGAAGCTAGAGCTGAGTAGTTTATTATTTGGCTCCACACCAAATTGGCTCAAGTTACTAAAAGTTTTAGACTTCCAAACAAATGAAGTAGACTCGAAAGCAAGTTAACTGCTTCACAGATTTAAGCTTACACTTTAGTTGTTGGTTTTCTCTTTGATAATTGACTATAATGAATTTAGTGCTGTTTAAAAGCAAAGCATCTTGGTTGAAATATTAGATGTATCATAATAATACAAGGTTTGTTTTAGCTTCTGCATAAATTATTGAGCTCTTAATGAAATAACTGATTTTGGTTTTAGGGACACTAAACATATTACTAAACATGTGCAGAAGACTAAACATTGTGATCTAATCTCTTAGCAATTTCTCTCATATAATAAATATCACCATCTGGGGAAAGAAAAAAAAGAGGTACCTGGATTAAATTCTTATTTGTACAAGTTTATCACTAGTATGTATATATGTATTCAATGCATAACTAAATGTCTTACTTTTTTATCATTTGCTTCTTTTGACACTAACTGCTCTGAAAATACTTTAAAAATAAAATTTATATACAGTTTATGTTTATTTGCTTAGGGACTGATTCTCCACTGCCTTCCATATTGCAGAGTCGTACACCTGTGCAAACCAGATGAGCATGGTAGCATTTCACACCAGCTTTGCACTGGTATAAATGACCACACAAGATTGGAGGAGGGAGGGATAGCTCAGTGGTTTGAGCACTGGCCTGCTAAACCCAGGGTTGTGAGTTCAATCCTTGAGGGGGCCATTGGGGGATTTAGTTGGGGATTGGTCCAGCTTTGAGCAGAGGGTTGGACTAGATCACCTTCTGAGGTCCCTGCCAACCCTGATATTCTATGCAGGGCAATGAAAGATCAGATTCTTGTTGTTTTATAAGTATCTGGTTTTAAATCAATTATGAATCCAATTCAGGAAATCATACTGATTAGTGACAGCATATTCTTATATCCTAAGCACATACCTGAATTAAATTGAGGTGGTTGGAAGTTGTTCGATAGAACATTTTCCCTCCAGAGAATGCCCGTTCATCAAAATCTAAACATTTTATGGAGATGGTTTGAATTCAATGAAATTGCAATGGAACAGAGGCAGCATTCTGGTGTAAGCCTGCCTTGTTTCTACCAGCTCACCAGCCTGGCTCTTCAGTAACCAGCTTGTCAGCCAACAGGGAGCTGGGAGCCTGGAAGCCCGGGGAGCCGCAGCTGCCAGACTCTGAGGTCCTTGACTCAGCCAGGTCTTCCAGGGTCCTGACTGCAGCTCGCTAGGCAGATTGCTGAGGAGCTGGGAACATGGAAGCCATAAGAGCCCCAGCTCCCAAGCTCCAAGGCTCTCAGCTCATTCAGGGCTTCCCGACACCCTTTAGACTTCCAGGAAGGTTGAGGAGGAGCTAGGAGTCTGAAAGCCCTGGCTCCCAAGCTCGTAACTCCTTAGCAGTTCAGTCTCCCAGGGCTTCCAGTGTCCATAAATCTGAAGCAGTCTGCCATGTGGACTGTCCCTGAGCCAGTGACCCTGGAGCAGCCCACTATGCAGACTGTTTCTAATCTAAGGCTTCATTTCCTTTCATGGAGAATTTTGAAAGTTTTTGGTTTTCATTCCAAAT